CACCCCCTAAACCCCACCCCAGCCCCACCTCTACCCCCTCTTCACCACAGCCCCGCCCTAAGCCCCCCTCCAAATGTGTGGCTATTATATGCATAATAGCCACACATTTGGCGAGAGGCTTAGGGCAGGGATGGGCGGGGGGGGGGGGCTGGGGGTTTAGGGGGTGGGTTAGGGGGGGTGTAGGAACCATCGATTTTCCGATTGGAGCACCGGAGGTGTTCTAAAAATGTAGTGGCACCGCTAGTGGCACCGTTGGCCATTGTCAATGGAACCATGCCCTATGATTATATTCTTTCCGGTCATTTGTTTAATGGTAAAGGTCCATGAGACTGGTTTGGTCAAGGTTGTGTGGGTTCCACCCGAGTATGGCGATGGAGTTGCATGCATTAGTGATGATGGAACTTTGTCCTTGTGGGAGGAGTTGTCAGAAGGTAACACTACAGTTTTATGCAATCTACTTAACTGCAAAATCTGCACGTGTCTTTGATACCTTCCCTTTTTCACCTGGCACATCAATTGGTTATATTTGATAGTCATTTTTCTTTCTAGATTCTGAGACAGTTCAATGGGTATTGTGCAAATCATTTGACAGAAACTCAAGTCGTGTTCTAGATATTCAATTTGGAGTCTCTCTCAATAACCTGAAATTGGTGAGTTGAATTCCAGTAGTCCAATATCTCCCATATATTTGTTTTTGAAATTCTATTACTTTTAATACTTTTTAATCCGCTATTTTGGTACTTATAGAGTCAAGAAAGTAGAAAATGGATAAACACAATTAAATACGGAATGGTTTTTGATAGAAACTAAAAATTGGATTCCTGATATAACTGCATAATATATTGCATTTGAAAGATATAAGATGTATGATAAATGGATCATTGTCTTCGTATAAATGTATAATTCATGATGCATACGTTACAGAATATTCATTACACACACCAATGCAATCTATGATTCTTTTTAATATGGTTAGACAACTATGGCTGGAAGAAGAGGAGGGGAGCGTCCAGAGACAGATGACCCTGATATAATCTTCCAATATTGAACCTCATTTTTTGCTTGTGGCACTCGAGATAGTTCTTCAAGTATTTACATTGAGGGACATAGTACATACATAACAATTCTAGACTAATGCTATCTGTTTCAAGGTGTTATCAAAGAGCATACTTAGCCTCCTCAATTAGAAAGACTTTAACATACTTGATTTACCCTGGTTAATGTTCTTTCTACATATTGCTTGAAATTATGTGTACATAGTAATTTAGTATTAACATTGAGTCATGATATAACTGGAGAATAAATGGCATTTACAAGATATATGATGTATGCTAAATGGATCACTGGCTTCTTACCATTCATAAAGAGTATGCAAAATAATGTTCATGTGTTGAATCTTTCACCAATGCAATCTATGATTCCATTCAATATAATTCAACAAATGGCTGGAAGAAGAGAAGGGAAGCATCCAGAGACAGATGCGTCGTGATATAATCTTCCAAAATTGAACCTCATTTTTTTTTGCTTGTGGCACTTGAGCTAGTTCTGCAAGTATTTATATTGAGGGACACAGAACATACATACAATTCTAGACTAATGCTATCTGCTTCAAGCCTTCAAGGTGTTATCAAAGAAAATAATTAGCCTCCATAATACAGTACATCATTGTGAACTGTATTGTAAGAACCCAATATGCTGCTTTTGTATTTGCCTTTCATTCATGTGATCTGATACATATTCTGTTTATGGCTGTTGAGATTGCAAAAAATGTATTTATTTTATGCTTTACCATGTGTTGCTAACCTTCATCATATATTTACTTGTAATGCAGGTAGTTGCATATTCTGATGGCCATGTCAAAATATTTGAGCTTCTAGATCCATTAAACTTGAAAAGTTGGCAAATTCAGGTTTGCTATCTTGCATTATGTTTTGATTCTAATTCAAATTGGGTAATGAGTTTGATTGTTCCAGTTTTGCATTTACCTATGACCTACACTGTTCATTCAAAATGTATTACTGTTTTCAGGACATATACTTTCATGTTTTTAATTTTTTTATCATACAAAAAGTTTCTAACATTTCATTCTTTAATTAAGAGGACCCAAATATTGATTAGGGCTTTATAAAATATTGGCAAACTTTGGTTCCTGAAATGAAAACTTGGATTCATAAGACAATGCACTCAACCTGTGTGGGTGGGATGAACATTTTTTTTCCTAGTTGATGCCTGATGCTAGTGATGTGGTTTTATTTAATATAATTGTGGTCATGTTCCATTTAGTTTGTACATTTCCTAGCAATACACACACACACACCGTATATTAGAAACATCTTAACATGGACATTGCAGGCTGAATTTCAGAATGCCATTGATTCTATATCAAAATTTGGGAAATGTTTATGTCTCTCTGCCTCAATCGCCTGGAACCCTTCAAAGCGTGAAACACAACAGTCAAGTTTTGTTTTGGGTTTTAATTCTGATACACCACAGTTGAATTCCTCCAAGGTATGTGAAAGTTTTTGTTCATAGTCTTCCTGGGTGGGGATTTAACTTGTGAGTTGTTTACTTGCATTCATGGACTAAGTACGGCACTGCCACTTGGTATGTTGCATTTGTTCTTAGTTTCTGCCAGATAAACTTCCCGTTGCTATTTGGTTTGGTACTGGTACTTGACTATATAGTATGCAACATTTTCATCCACACTTTGATATGTGTGGGCAAAGAGCTGAATAAATGGACATAAATGAAAACCAACCAGATAATTGAAAAAATTGACTTTCAGATCTCCTCTGCATTTTTTCAAGCTTTGATTTTTATTTTTTTCAATATTGTACTAGTAGATTTGATAATTAGATATATCATCAATGTATATGTTAATTATGTACTTCATACTAGTGAGTTCGGTAATTAAGCTGATATGTTGCAGCTAGTTCTGGCTATCTATTAACCATGCAAAACAGATTAATATTTTTCTGTCGGTAGGTTCTGAGAAAAAACTTTATTCGGCATTTTGGTTATGCTCACCCCTAATTCTTGGACGTTTAATTTGTTGAACTGTTGATATAAAATCCTTGTTTACCAATATATTTCTATTTTTATTGATTTTTGAATTATGCTGTATTTTACCTTTTGTTAAAATGTTCTACCACATTCATTGATGTATTCTTTCTTAGTAAACGGGCATTGACCGGATTTGGCAAACATTTTGTAGCATGTGGCGATAACAATAGCATTATTTCTTGCTGGAAATGATAATGCTTGCATGAATTTACATACAGAGTAGATCAATCAATTCAGTTATTAGTAGCAAAGTGTTCTCAAGTTGTCATACCACACTCCTATTGCAGGTTTGGGAATTTGATCAGGATCATCAGAGATGGCTTCCAGTTGCAGAATTAGCTTTGCCATCAGATAAAGGCGATCAGGTTTTTGCAATCGCATGGGCTCCAAACATTGGAAGGTATTGCTCTATTGGAGACCAAACAGCATCATCTTTAGGGTGTGATGAATGTTATCTTCCCCTATAATTTTTTTTTCCCGGTTCGCCAAATGCCAACTTTACAGCTCTCATGTAGGCCATACGAGGTAATAGCTGTCTCTACTTGCAATGGGATTGCAATATGGCATGTTGGTTCAGAACCTGACCCAGATGGGAGGCTCGCGATTGAGAGGGTTGCATTGCTTTCTTCACATGATAATGAGGTATTACTCCTGAAGTTTTTATTACCCGAATCGATAGAGAATTCGTGTCACTATAACTGGGAGACCTGTGTTATCTTTTTTTATAGGTATGGCAGTTGGAATGGGACATGAGTGGAATGACACTGGCTACTACAGGGAGTGATGGCCTTGTCCGGTTGTGGCAGTCCAACCTAGACGACGTTTGGCATCAAAAGGCAATTTTTGATCCCACCACTAGTTAGGCTTGTTTGCTTGGGAACAATATTTTTTATTAGTGTTTTCGATAATTGTTAAGTGGTGCACTTTAGTTTTGAAAACGTTGAAGCTAAATGCTATTGCAAGACAGACTTTTCAAAATCCTAAAGCTAAACGTTGAAGCTATTGCCAAATGGGTACTTAGTCAGTAGTTTCTTATCACCAGATGTAATTGTGATATTTTTTGGTAACTATCCTTAAGGGTTTTTTGCGCTGTTCATCCCTGAACTTTTTAAAAATTGCACAGATTCCTTCTGAACTTTAAAAATTCTAACAATGTCTCTTGAACTTTTAAAAATGTTGCACCAATGATCCGTTTGTGCTAGATTTGGGAGTGCGTCAATCATACGCTCATCCAGTGTAAGTATAAAATTATCTAAAATCATATATCACAACTGAGCTTAACAATATGTCCTTTCTAAGGCATCGGCCTCTTTTTTTTTTGTTGAGCATGAGGGAAGAACATAGCAACATGACAATTTGTTTGGTCCCACGGGTAGCGCCAAAATGATGATGTAAGTTATCTTGACTAGTATATTATTCATAGCTGAACAAGAATGGTAAATTTGTCCAACAAAATACACCAATTTTGACGTGTAAACTCAATCGAGAGAAAACCACAGGCTTAATTTAAGCTGTCTTCAAAAAAAAAATAAAGCATTTGAGCCCTTGAGGAAGAAGAAAAATACTCTAAAAGTTACCTTGAGAGAGTGTGTGAACCAGTGGCGGAGCCAAGAACTGCTTATCCGGGGGGCACATTGGGTCGGAGGGAATCGTAAGGATTTGTTTAAAAACATTATAAAAAGACAAAAAATAATAAATTATATCTCGAAATAAACATTTGAGTAAGTCAAAATATAACAATAAAATAACATTATAACAGAGTATTAATTATACAAAATTTAATTTTTTTTCTTCAAAATAACAGTATTGGGATTATCATGGAGTAACAAATTTATCCATAACTATAATTTCAAATAAAAAATATTCTATATAATGACAATATCATTAGTTATACGACATCAGATTTCTTTTCCAAAATCACACTTTAATTACACAAAACAAATCCATAATAAATTATATGGTTTAATTAAAAATTCAAAACAAAATCGTATCCCTACGTTTGAAGCCTGGATTTGAGAGGAACGATGCCTGAGGTCATACGGAAGTTTTTTTTTATAAAATCGTAGCAATAACATAAACGCTGTCGTTTGGCTGATTATAGGGCCTTTAGTTTAAAAAAGAACGGCGTCGCTTCACAAAAAAACCTACGGAGTAATTCATGAAATGAAGACAGAAGCTTAAGGTTCTGCTTGGGCCGTCGCACGCGGGGGGCACTTCCCTTGTCGTCAGAGCAACCATAGCCGACGCCGGTAAAAAATATTCTTCGCCGGGGGGCACGTGCCGTGGCAGCCCCCCTCCCCTCCGCCCCTGGTGTGAACTGGGGAGAGTGATGAGAGGGGAGAGGCCTGCCTTCTTGGTGGAATAACTGTTCCTTTTATAAAAGTAGTAGGAGCATCTACGAGGAAATATTTGCTTATTCTTCCATTTTACTAAACAGGTCCAGTTTCATTGTTTTTGGTAAATAATTGGAAAATGTGAGCCCAACCATATATTATTTTTGTCACTATAGGTACACAGTTTAAGAAAATAAAAGCATGTGACTAAAAGTGATGCTGGAAAAAAAATCACTTACAAAAAAATTTAAAGTAAAAAGATAACAAGTTTTTTAGAATGTTCAAAAAAAGAAATGAAGATTATAAGAAGGTGGTCAAATTTTAATACAACTGAGTGATTTGTGGAAGAATGATGTATGAGATTGAATCACTGGCCTAAGACCAAGATGATGTGTTTTAATGGTTTTATTGTTTTCTCCATCCAACTCATCGGACTTCAATTTATCTTGTTTGATGTTTTAATCTTAGACTGCTTTGAAGTTTTCACTGGAATTGTGCACGAACTCATTTTTATCATAAATCAAATATAGTATGCTTATCCATACCTGATTAAGGTTGATCTAATTATAGCTATAAGTAAAGTTGTTTCTGATCTAATTTGGTCTGATTATAATAAGATTGAGTAATAATTAGAAAAAATAAGTTAAACGGAACATTGCCTAAGAAGGAAGATGAAAAAGGGAGAGGGGATGATCGAAAGAAGAGATGATTCTGATGAATTTGACGGAAAATGGGTTTAACGGAGGGAGGGACGGAAAGTCCTGACTTCTTTTTTTTTTTTTTGAGTATTTTAAGATATTCCGAAGTATATTTTTAAAACTATAGATACCTGACTTATCTCAAAATGAAAAATGCTAGGGGTACACCAAAAGTGTACCCCATATGTCCTCCACCCCTCCTTGTCCACTAAAAAAGGCAAAAAAAATTAAAAAAAATAAATAAATAAAAATCAAATAAAAATGTTGATGGAGAAGACAAAAAACTGCTGCCGGGTACCCCATATTTTGTTGTAAGAACTGCCAGGTACCTCTATTTTTCAAAATATACTCTTAGGTACCCTGGATTTTGAAAAAATATACTAAGGGGAGATTTTCCTTCCCCTTTCCGTCTTTCCCCCTTTCTCCGTTACATTGCACCATCATCATCATCCATCATCCATCATCACCATCCTCATCCATTTCATTCTTCCTCCTCTCTTCTTCTTTTTCTCTTTCTTCTTTTTCTTCTCCTCCACCCACTTCCAATCTCCCTGCCCCACCCCTCACCCTTTATTTCTTCTTTTTCTCGTTTTATTATTATTATTATTATTATTATTAATATTATTATTATTAATATTATTTATTACAAAGTATTTTTTCTTCTTAATTATTATTGTTAATATTATGAAGTAATATTTTCTTCTTATTCTATTATTATTATTATTATTAAAAATTAATTTATAGTTTCACTGTAAAATTGAAGGTGCCCGACAGTTCTAAGCACAAAATTAAGGATACCAAACAATAATTTTTTTTACATTAATATAGATTTTGAAAGATTAATGGAGCATCCAATTTTTTGGTGGGAGCTTTAGTTTTTTTGTTAAAAAATATAGTAGTAAAACAACTAAATAATAATAATAATAATAAGCATAAGAATAATAATAATAATAATAATAATAATAATAATAATAATAATAATAATAATAATAATAATAATAATAATAATAATAGAAAGAGAAGAATGAGAAATAAGGGTGAGTGGTGGGGGTCTAGAAGAATAAGAATAACAATAATAATAATGGTAATAATAATAATAATAATAATAGAATAAGAAGAAAATATTACTTCATAATATTAACAATAATAGTTTAGAAGAAAAAAAATACTTTGTAATAAATAATAGTAATAATAATACTGTTTGGTACCCTTAATTTTGTAAAATACTTTGTAATAAATAATAATAATAACAATACTCCATTAATCTTTCACAATCTATATTAATGTAAAAAAAATTATTGTTTGGTACCCTTAATTTTGTGCTTAGAACTGTCGGGCACCTTCAATTTTACAGTGAAACTATAAATTAATTTTTAATAATAATAATAATAATAATAATAATAATAATAATAAAAGGAGAAGAAGAAGAAATAAAGGGTGAGGGGTGGGGCAGGGAGATTGGAAGTGGGTGGAGGAGAAGAAAAAGAAGAAAGAGAAAAAGAAGAAGAGAGGAGGAAGAATGAAATGGATGATGATGGTGATGATGGATGATGGATGATGATGATGGTGCAATGTAACGGAGAAAGGGGGAAAGACGGAAAGGGGAAGGAAAATCTCCCCTTAGTATATTTTTTCAAAATTCAGAGTACCTAAGAGTATATTTTGAAAAATAGAGATACCTGTCAGTTCTTACAACAAAATATGGGGTACCCGACAGCAGTTTTTTGTGGAGAAGAAGTGGTGTACATTTGGGGTACATGGTATACCCCTAGCATTCCTCATCTCAAAATATGTTTTGAAGGTGGGAGTTAAAAGAAACTCCTAACTCTTCTCACTTTGTTAGCTGAACAGGAAGATGATGGTACTGTGTGTGCAAGGCCAAGGACCCGTTTGGATGAACAGAACAACAACCACGGCCCTATCTCCTTCTCCCATCTTCCGCCGTTTCCCAACGCGGCCCTGGAAAGAGGGCAATCGATTCAATTCCGGGAACAAGAAGGCGAGGAGCGTCGTTTTATCTAAAGCGTTCCTGTTCCCGGTGGATCCATGGGCTCCCACCGTCGATTCTCAGAGCATAGCTTCCCAGCTCTTCGCCGTCTCCCTCTTCCCTTACATGGGTTTCTTGTATTTCATCACCAGATCCAAAACTGCCCCTAAACTCACCCTCTTCGGCTTCTATTTCTTGCTTGCCTTTGTCGGCGCCACCAGTAATTTTCTTATTTCCTTTTCTCTTTTTTTTTTTCTCATTTTAATATATTTGAATTTTCTTCATTTTAAAATTTGTAATTCACTGTGGTGGACTGGTAGTAAGATTTCTGGAGTTTTAGATTGCTGATAATTGTGGGTTTTGTATAAGGGTTAGTTTGGATACTCTCTCTGATTTTGATTATAATCAATTATCATTATTAGATATTTTTTCAACATTTTTTTGCTTTTATACCTCTACTATATTTTTTTTTGTAGGATAAGAATGCTTAAAGTTTTAAAAGGGCAGTTGAATTTTATTTTCCTTTGTATGCTACAAGGTAAAACCGATCATAAAAACACCATTTCCCTTGGCCACATCACCCCCCTTTGACTATAATTTTCTGTGTTCCAAACATATCCTTAAAGTAATTCAATTTCTTTATTATGGCCTTTTTTTGCTTTTGCATTGTGTTGCGTGTGTGCGCCCGTGTGGGTGTGTTATGACTGATCTTTGCATTATTATTTGAGTGACCATGATGGGGTGCAGTTAGGAAATTCTAATACATTTTCAAAATCTTCATATGAGTTAATTTGAGTATATAATTTACTTTGTATTTGTTATGCAAAATGAATGCTATTAGTTTGATATTAGGTGCAATACTGATACGGGGTATTTCGTTGTGTTTCTTTAAATGCTTCAACTATGCCATGCAGTCCCAGCAGGCATTTATGGTAATTTTCCTTCCTACTTTTGGATATCTTTTTTCTATTAAAAGATTCAATCTTTGGGTAATTCATGCTGATCCGAGTATGATGAAATTGAAACAGCAAAGGTGGAGTATGGGACTTCACTTTCCAATGTGGACTGGTTGCATGGAGGAGCTGAGTCGCTGCTTACCCTAACAAACATATTCATAGTGTTGGGACTGAGGGCCGCTCTTAGGAAGACTATAGACGGGAAAGAGAGTAAATCCTTTGGTGTTACTGAGTTGAATGAAGATAGCCATAATACATGACAAGGTAGAAAAGTTATTACCTAAACAAAATTTGCTTTGTGTTTCATTATATCAGTTCATGCGCATGACACCCTTCTTTGGCTACTGTGTTGATGTGTCTATGCCTAATGTTTATTGCACACCTCAATCACCTAGTTGATTTTGCTCTTGATCACTCCATTAGTTCCTCTTGGTTACATTCTGTTGTATCTTCTTTTGCAGAGTCTTCAATAATATAATGACAGATTTCTCTTCAAAGATTTGTGACTTATGCTATCTTATTTCCCATTTTTTCTTAAAAAAAGGTCGAGTTAGGAAGGAAATCTAGCATAAAACTTTGTCACTGTTTTCACATGAAATTAGACCGTTATATAATTTTAGACAATTCAGCGATATTATAGATGTCATGCCACTGACCCAATATACTTGGACAAAGGTTATTACCATGATGGTGGAGAACACCAAGGTAGATTGGTTGAAGTGGAGAGGAGTGATATAAGTATTGTGTTATCTAAACTACTTTTAAGATTGATTTCTTAAAGGTGAAAGTTCAAAATGATCTCTATTCGGCCTTATTATATTGGATCAAACTTTTGGAATATTAATAAAGATCAATTGTTGAGGATGGGTTAGTTTCATATGCTACAATGCCTGTTGAGTCACTGTTTGAGTAGCTTAGTCAGTTATTAGATATTTTTCTACTTTAGTTTGTTTTCCATCATCTCTGATGGAGTCAAAATTTCACCATTTTTGGCTCTGGGTTGTGATGGAATAAATCAAAATGGATCTCTAAACTATCTGCGCTTCTTTAATTAATGAAGTAGCAGTTAGTCAAACACTGCAACTTTCGATGTTGAGCCGGGGGTCTCTTTGGAAACAGCCTCTCTACTTTCGAGTAGGGGCAAGGTCTGCGTACACACACCCTCCCCAGACCCTACTCTTGTGGGATTTAACTGGGTTGTTGTTGTTGTTGTTTGTTTTGGGTTGTTACAGTGGTTTGTTTGTTTCCTTCNTATTAATAAAGATCAATTGTTGAGGATGGGTTAGTTTCATATGCTACAATGCCTGTTGAGTCACTGTTGGAGTAGCTTAGTCAGTTATTAGATATTTTTCTATTTTAGTTTGTTTTGGTTGTTACAGTGGTTTGTTTGTTTCCTTCTTCTTTTATATACCTCTTCCTTGTAACCTTTCTTCTCAAGCAAGTTAATGTGAAAAGTTTACCTTCTTCATCCTTTCTTCACGATCATGGACACGTTCCTAAATCCAACATGGTATCGAAGCTCCTTCAATTGATCTCGATTCATCTCAGAGATCGATCGATTCTGCGATCATTTCTCCCGAAATTCATGAATCGTTGATCACGATTAATCTCAGATTCTCCATTTTTTCTCTCTGAGTTCTTTGATTTCATCCTTTGCAGATCTCTAGGGCATCTACCACGAACAATACATCCAACACGACCAATAAATCTTGGTCCTTATTATCTTCATCCTTCAGATCATCCAGTCTGATTTCAAGAAAATTATCAGGCAAAGGTTTTAGCTCATGGCAGAAGTCCATGACGATTGCTCTGTCAGCAAAGAACAAGTTAGGTTTTGTAAAAGGCACAATCAGAAAACTTGACGATTCATCCAATCGAGTCAACAATTGGTAGAGATGCAATGATATGATAACCTCATGGATCCTCAATACACCGAGCAAAGAAATTGGCGATAGCATTCTGTATGCTGAAAACGTCGCTGAAATGTGGAATGAGCTTGGAGATAGATTTGGACAATCGAATGGTGCAAGATGGTTTCAGCTACAAAAGGATATATGTTTTATCACTCAAGGAAATTCAGACATCGCCACTTATTATACAAAATTGAAGAAGATCTGGGATGAATTGGCTTTGGTATCCAATTTGCCAAGGTGTTCGTGTGGAGCTGTTCAAGAGCTTACCAAGTATGAACAGAATCAGAAACTAATTCAGTTTTTTATTGGCCTCAACTCAGAATACAATGTCACACGAGGGAACATACTTCTTATGAGACCTCTCCCTTCAGTTCCAGTTGCTTATGGACTCCTCATACAGTAAGAGAAACAGAGGGAGATACAAGCACCTTCTCATTTTACAGCTGAACATGCGTCTCTGAATGTAAATGTTCACCCAACAAGTAAAGGGAGATTTGAAGAAAGGAAAGTCATCATTTGTGATTATTGCAAATTTGCAAGAAGGGCCACACTGCTGCTAAGTGTTACAGGCTTGTTGGCTTCCCAAAGGACTTCAAGTTTACCAAACCAAGAAGAGTTGCTGCAAATGCTGTGAGTGGGGAAGAATCTGAAACTGGTGAATCTAAATCTGATGGACAGTTTAGCCCTGAGTTTTGCAATGAATTCATGAAGTTCATTAGTTCATTCCATGATGATAAAGTTCAACATTCATCCCAAGCATTTACAGCACACATGGCTGATATGATTCTTATCCCTAATAATTTTTTTGGTTAAACATATGTGTAATAATGTGCATTTGTTTGATGATTATGCCTTTATTTTAGACACTGGAGCAACTGATCATATGTGTGCCGATTCTAGTCTTCTCACTAATCTCACAAACTTAACCTCACCTCACCAAATCATTCTGCCTAATAACCAACAACTCACAGTTTTTCAAACTGGAATCATCCATTTACCTTGTGATATAATGCTCAAGGATGTTTTGTTTGTACCTGATTTCAAATTCAACCTTCTATCTGTGGGTAAATTGTGTAAACAACTGGGAGTTACAACTTGTTTCACAGCAGAAAGTGGAGCTTAGTAAAAGACATGGTGGTTTATACATCACACAAATCAGTCATCATTCTTCAGATCCATTGTTCATCCTCTTGTTAATTCTCACGATACTTTCTGTAATAAGGCTTGTATGCAATCTAATGTAAACTTGTGGCATATGAGATTGGGTCACTTACCAAGTTACAAACTTAAGCATCTTTGTTCTTTTGATAATGAAAGTTTCAATTCCTTGTCTTGTTGTGATGTTTGTCCTAGGGCCCGGCAACAAAGATTACCCTTTCCCATTAGTCACGGTCACTCAACACATATATTTGAACTTATACATCTTGATCTGTGGGGTCCCTATCACACAAAACCTTATAATGGATTCTCATACTTCCTCACCATTGTAGATGATTGTTCTAGGGCCACATGGACTTATCTCTTGGCAGCTAAGAGTAATGTTGCTGATCTCATCAAATCATTTGTGATCATGGTTAGTACTCAGTTTAAAACAATCAGATCTGATAATGCCTTAGAATCAGGAAAAAGTCAATCCACTTCTCAGTTTTTCCTTTTCAAAGGTATTATCCATCAAACCATTGTGAAACACACTCCACAACAAAATGGAGTTGTTAAAAGAAAACATAAACATTTTACTTGAGACCTCCAGAGCTTTGTCTATCCAGTCCAATATACCTCAGAAATTTTGGGGTGAATGTGTTTTCACTACCACATGCCTCATCAACAGATTCCCCACAAAGCTCCAGCAAAACAAATCTCCTTATGAAATCATTTTTGGCAAACAACCCTCATACACACATTTAAGGGTCTTTGGTTGTTTGTGCTATATCTCAACACAGAAACAAGGAAGAATAAAGTTTGCAGAAAGAGCTTTCAAAGGTGTATTTCCAAGGTACCCTTATGGAAAGAAAGCTTATAAGGTTTACAACATGACAACACATAAGGTTGAAGACTCTAGAGATGTGATCTTCCATGAATCCGTTTTTCCTTTCTAAAATGATCCACCTCAGGATCCTTTGTTCCCTTCCAATTATTATCCTTCACACCCTTTGTCAGATTGTTCTCCATCTGATATCCCTACTGTTCCTTCTTCTTCCCCTCCTAACAACTCCTTATCTTCTGATATTTCTGTTTATATATCCTCCGATTCAGCTTCCTTCGATATCTCTTCTTCCTCTACTTTTGTTCCTAAAAGATCTCTTAGGACTCATAAAGCACATGCTCATCTCAAAGACTATGTGTGTCACACCTCTGCCATTTCCTCTCAATCTTGTGTTTCTGATTCCTCTTCCTTCATATCTTGTCCTCACACTCTTACTTCCACTGCTTCTTCCACACATATGTGCTTAAGTACTTTAACTCAGGCTAGTAAAAATCTTTTGCATACTCTTACTCATATGCAGAAACCTAAAAATTATGAAGAGGCCAAGGATAATCCAGCTTGGCAACAAGCCATGCAAACTGAATTTCAGGCCCTTGTAGACACTGGAACTTGGGAAATCTGTGATCTGTCAAAAAGTAAGAAGCCTATAGGTTGTATAAGGATTTACAAACTGAAATTCAAATCCGATGGAACCTTGGAGAGACACAAAGCCAGGTTAGTAATTCGAGGTTGTACACAAAAAGAGGGCATTGATTACCATGAGACTTTTTCTCTTGTTGTCAAAATGACCAGAGTCAGAGCTCTTTTAGCAGTTGCCGATGAACAATGGTATGCTGAGCTATGTCTTGTCCTCTGATCCAAAGGATTTGTTACTTCTAAGAATGATTACTCCCTCTTCACTAAGCGCATTGGTGTTTCTGTTGTCCATCTAGTGATTTATGTTGATGACATCCTTATAACAGGGAATACCATTGAAGAGATCATTGCCTTGAAGTCTCACCTCCATTCTGTTTTCAAGATCAAAGATCTTGGTCAATTGGGGTATTTCCTTGGATTGGAAGCCATCTATGAACCACATGGAATGATTCTTACTCAATGTAAGTTTACTTTAGACCTTCTGTCTTCCTTCCACTGCTCCTCAGATGCTTCTGCACGCTGTCCTTTACCAACTGGTCTGCAACTTCAGCTCAATACTGGTCAACCTTTGTCAGACCCCACTCTTTATAGAACTCTTGTGGGCAAACTGAACTTTCTCACTCATACCAGACAAGATATAGCTTATGCTGTCCAATTCCTCAGTCAATTCATGCAAGATCCTAGGATTCCTCATTGGGAAGCTGCCCAGCACACCTTGAGATATCTAAACTCAGCTCTATCTTAAGGTATTCACTTCAACAACTCTTCCACATTCCAACTAGAAGCTTATTGTGACCTGCGTGTCCTAACACAAGAAGGTCTGTTAGTGGATACTTTATTCTCTCACTCAACATCAACTCGCTGATTTGTTTACCAAGAGCCTGCCTACTGTACTTCACCACAGATTTCTTTCACGTTGGGGGTTCAATCACCCTCCAACTTGAAGGGGGGGGGGGGGGTGTTGGAGTAGCTTAGTCAGTTACTATATATTTTTCTATTTTCTGTTTTAGTTGGTTTTGGGTTGTTACGGTAGATGGACTCAAAGGTCCGGGGTTAGTGAGAGAACAAAGTTTAGATAGATACTTGAAATTTTCTATTTGATTTTGACAGAGAATAAGTGTGTATCCCCTCTCAGGCCGGGTATTTAACAATTTATGAACAAAGGATGCGCATGCTGGTGCTGGCACAAATATTTAAGCCCTCACAAGATGCTTTTCGGCCAGCCCAAGTGGGAGACCGAGCAAGCTGAAGCTCAGGGCTTCCCATGCTGATGGGCCTACCTTACCTCGAACCCGAGTCCCTCAACGAGCTCTAGGCCAGTTGTAGATCCACTTCTTTGGATTAGGGGGCAAGTGTCCCCAACTTTTTTTTTTGTAATAAGGTTAAAAATATTTTTTTAAAATTTTATGTATATATGCTCCAACAAAAATTAATGTGACCCCATGTAATTAGGTCAAATTTAATTTTTTTTGTTTAATTTTTTAAAAATAAAGTGCATTTTATTGCATATAATTAATTGTTTATAAAATAAAATTTCACATTACCTATTAAAAATGTTTTACATTCAATAAATATTTAAAATAAAACTAATTATTATTTTTCATTTCAAAAGTCAATAAAAAAGGGGGCGCTACCCCGGATCCCCGATCAATGGTGTCCCCATCTAGCTCAATTCCTGTATCTGCCAGTGCTCTGGGATAATTCCAACCTCATCTAAAATGTGCCCACGTGCTTGGGCTTGGAGTATTCTTTCCATTAACCAAAAATCCCTTTACAGGGTATCCATCAACTACTATTTTTATTCATTCCACTATTGTTTTGTCCCAAAAGTAGTTGGGCGTAGGGAGTATTATTTCTTCCTTAGATCTAGCCATCGGTTAAAGAATCTGACATACAAAAAAAATCTACTTTTGTTCCACTTTCATACTGAAAATCTACATATTCCAAAAAAAATGCCAAACTTATTGATTGAGCCCCTACTGTACCATTGCCTTTCTTTTTTCTTTATGTATACTAACTACATGGGATCACGGGAAAAACTCTGAGGCATCAAAGAGGAAGTTTGGGTCATAATTTGGTAGATCAATTGTGCAGTCCAAGCCCACAATGGGAGAGTTTGTGGACGAAGTAGTTGCTGAGAATAAATCTGTGAGGTCTGATGAATGCGAATGGTGCAAGTTATGAACTCCCCCAAAGCTGTTAGCCTCTTGATAAGACACGGAGTGGTAGTTCGAGTCGGTAGTGGCTGGTGAAACAAAGGAAGTCGGTGAGTAATTCCCCGCGACTTTCTGCAAAGTTTGGAATGGCTGATTCTCATCTGTTAATAATGTTTGAGGGAAGGAGAAATGACACACTGTCTCCTTCCCTTCAAAGTCGTCTGAGTTTAAACTGAATTCCATTAATGCCTGGCTTGTTTGCATTGTGAGATCATCATCATTTTGTTGTATGTTTTCTTCCGGTTCTTGTTTCATTGGCGGTGTTTGGCCACATATATGTGCCCCTGCGTATGTGATCTCAAATGTGTTTGGATCACCGCTGGATCTCTGCACTTGTTTCGTGGCCCAACAGTTGTGCATTTTGCGGTGCGTACATCTGTAATAGCTCCTGCAAAACCAAAAAAAACAACTTTTTCTTAATACCCATAATGTTTTTTTCCCTTCTATTTCATCCTAGTTGATTAGTGCCCGGTTTTGACCCTTTATTATCTCTAAGATTTCTTGTGTTTTTTGCAGATGATTAACTCACCTTGGATATTTTGCTCCAAGAATGTCTTTCTGCCCGTACTTTCTCCAACTATATCCGTCTTCAGGAGGACCTTCAAGTCCATTTTCAGTGCCAACTCTAACATGTTCTGTCCATTTTGGCATCAACTTTCTGCCAAAACACGCAAAAAAAACCAGGCAGGTAAGAATAACTTCACCTGCAAATGAGTGCATAAGAAAACGAACTTCAAGAACCGCGATCATATTCTTACCTCTTTTTCGTCACATTTCTTCCCACGTCCCGGCTCTTGTCAATTCCCCCACTCGGCGAGCTTCCATCCCCAGAGATGGAAGATTCAGGCAGTGGTTTGAGAAGCAAGAGGGATTTGTGGTAAGAAGCCATTATTTTCTCCAAGAGAAAGTGGCGTGTTTCGGATGAGGGTTCATCGGAGTGCAAAGCAGCGCAAAGCTGCTTGGCACATTCCATCCCTTGGGTTAGCTCTGCGACCAAAGCCGTGCTGTTCTCCCAACTCAAACCGTGCTCCATTTCGTTCGGGTCACCAGGATTTGGAAATGTTACCTATTTAGATTGGGTTTTGGGAACAAGGGAGTTGTATATAAAAGAGTGGAAGGGCTTTTTGAACTGGAATCATTGGGATGACACAAAAGGGTATGGGGAAGAAAGTTCAGAAAAGAAAAGTCAGAGAGGGACTGAGGTTTGAATGGGAAACCGAGTTTTTTTTACTTGGTCTTTCCGTCTTTGGTCATAAGTAACATACTTATACTCAATGATGAGTGGGAGGGAATGTTGAGGAAAGAAAAGAGGCCCCCCCACTGTCTCCGCCCATGGTGACTATTGACCAATTCAAACCTATGCCATTACAAGAAATCCTCCCTAAAAGGGGATTTGGGTTGTAACTAGATCTTTAACTTTTTAATTCACTCACATAAACGAGCTAAGAGGGTAAGCTATGTGAGCAGCCAAATAGCTAGCTTTCTTGTGCTTTGAAAAGTTGTACTAATATCTCTCTGTTTTCAAAACTTATTTTTAAAGCTTTCGTGAATTCAAAACGTTGCACCCATAAGTTACTTTTTATTTCCAAAATATGAGTTTGCATTGTGACAATGTGTCATTGTATATGAACATATAAGTAATTTTTATTTTAATATATTTTAATATTTTATTTTTACTTTAATCTTTTTCCTAATAATAATAAAAATAATACGGAGTAATAATCATCATTTTAGTTCTATTGAGTCTAATAATTTTAAAGCTATGCTCTCCCCTCCCCACTCTTGTGATCTTAACAAAAATAACTTTACATTATTGCTACTCTATCTCATTATTGAGTAATATTTATAATTGATTCTTTATCACAAAGGAGTTTTTATATTTAATCCTCCATTATCAAATATTATTCTTGTAGTTTTTTTTGGGTACCTTTCTATAAATGGTTTTTTTTAATTTTCTGTTATCTTGGTGTTAATTTAAAGGCTAAAAATTTAATTTGGTATCAACTTTATATCCAGTGATGAATTTCGATATTGGTTAGATGAATAGCACAAAAATAATTACTATAATTTTGAGTTAGAATTTTGACGAAAGACCACATTTGTAGATTATGATTGTAGTACAAAGCGACTGTAATTTACAAACAACACATCAAGAGCGACGTTTGGAATTGTGTATGACAAAAAAATACATTATCATTATGAAATTACATTTTAGTCTTTAAATTAACACCGATATGATAAAAAAAATATTTATAGAAAGATATTCATAAAAAAAAGACCAAATAAGTAATATTTAATACTCCATTATAAAAGACTAAATAGGAAAGTTTTATCGTATAACTTATGAAATTATTTTAGGTTGAATTTTAAAAAAGTAAACTTTTGAGAACTCTTGAATTGAAGAACTTTTCTTTCTTGGGGATGCAATGAGCTGCCGTTGGCAAGGTGGTTTGGGAGGGGTGTGGTGCTTCTTTTGGATAGTCTGAGCGTTTTTGATGATTTCACGAGTGGGAAAATGGCTTCTACAGTTCACGTTCTCGTGATTCCATTCCCGATACAGGGGCACCTAACCCCGCTGGTTCAATTCTCCAAGCGTTTAGCTTCCAGAGGAGTAGGGGCGACCATCGTTGCACCTGAATCAATCAGTTCATGCCTACAGACGAATTCGAGCCTCATCAGAATCGAATCCATAGCCGACGCCGCCGGCCCGCCGGACGGCGTCGATGCAATCAGCGGTTGGATCATGGACTTACTCTCCAAAAAGCTGGCCGACATTGCGTCTAGAGCCGCCGGTTCCGGCTGCGTCCTGGCGGCTGTGGTGTACGACTCGATCATGCCGTGGGTGGCTGAGATCGCCCGCCGGCTGGGCCTGCGAGCCGCCGCATTCAACAGCCAATCGTGTGCCGTGTTCTCCATATACCATCACGCGGATCTCGGGAGCTTGGAATTGGGTGCTCCTGTTGAAGGATCAACGGTGTCTCTCCCTTCAATGCCGCCTTTAGGGTTGAGTGATCTGCCTTCTTTCCTTGGCGATAAGAACTCCTACTCTTCGCTATTGAAGCTGGTTTTGGGCAGAAATTTGAATTCACATCAAGCAGACTGGCTCTTGTTCAACACATTTCATGAATTGGAAAAAGAGGTAACCTAATTTAGACTGGCTCTTGCTTCATTTCTCATTACAAATGCTTTTTTCTTGGTTGAGAAAGGTCACTCAACATACCCAAATCTTAATATAATTATCAATTTCACTACTTTTGTGTGGTTTAAACTTGTTTAGTAGAGAAATAAAGAATACATAAGCTTTTCGACTAAAGAAATGAGAAGAAATTCTGGGACAACCCAAAAAGAAAAACAAGAAGAACGTTATGAAGAGGGAGTAGAATATATATTACCCATTCTACTTATGAACAGATAATTAAATTTTGATTGAAAGAGACTGTATATAGAAGCATTGAAAAATAGGCAATGTTTGGTGACCACAATTAGCATTCTATATTAGCAGGTGGGACTAATAGTTTTGAGATTTTAGAAGATGTCGTGTAGGATAGCATACTGTCATTACCCGTTAGCAGTATTCTATATAAAATGGCAAAACTTTCATCAATGGGCTTTATAACAAAAAGCTCTTTCTTAAGTGCTTCTAGGAACAACACTTTTGAAAAAGGCATTTGTGCACAACCGAACAAGTGGTAATCTGAAATGCTTTCATCCGAACACCACAATATAGATTTATGACTTTCGGACATGCTCTTTACATTCAAAATGAAAAAAAAGGAGCATATTGCTCTGCTTTCTGAACAATATGTTGTTTACCAAAGAAGACATTATAGCCTACCTCTTGCTAGCTGTTGGTTTAGGTGCTGTTTATTGTCTTTCTCAAACTACAAATTTACGAGGAAGGACTTATCAACTCTGAACCTATGGACGCAAAGATCTCATTGTTTCTTTTGGCCATTGTCCTGGCTTAAGAAATATGGTTAACATGCACTTGTTAAATTCTTTTAGTTGCTGGAGTGGATGGCAGCCGAATTTCCAGCCAAAGTCATTGCTGTTGGCCCACTTCTTCCCTCCATGTACCTAGACAAGCGAATAATAGACGATGACAGCTACGGCCTGAGTCTATTCAAGCCCGACTCTAAAAACTGCATGAAATGGCTGGATGCACAGGAAACAGGTTCTGTAGTCTATGTTTCTTTTGGGAGCTTGGCTAACTTGAATGACCACCAAATGAGCGAAATTGCATTGGGCTTAGTCCAAAGCAAATGCAAATATCTGTGGGTCATCCGGTCATCCGAGCAAAGCAAGCTCCCAATCCATCTCCTGCCAGACAATTCAGACGCCGGCATGATCACAAGCTGGTGTCCTCAGCTAGACGTCTTATCCCACCAAGCGATCGGGTGCTTCATCACTCACTGTGGATGGAACTCTACTCTCGAGGCATTGAGCTTGGGAGTCCCTGTTGTTGTCATGCCACAGTGGACTGACCAGCCCACCAATGCCAAGTATTTGGTTGACGTTTGGAACATTGGGGTCCGTGTAACAGCTGGTGAAAACGAAATGGTCACTAGAGAAGAAGTAGAGAGGTGTTTGGTCGAAGTGATGAAGGGAAATAAGGGGACTTTGCTTAAAGAGAGTGCCGCAAAGTGGAGGCGACTGGCTAAAGAAGCAGTTGATATAGGTGGAAGCTCCTACAATAATATTGAGGAGTTTGTGTCTGCTATTTCTATGCAAAAATGAAAATCCATACCCTCAATATACCCCAATTTTGGTGGGATGTATTCACAAACCATTCACTTGAGCGGGATATACTACACTCGATATGTTTGATTTGGACTCTCTATGTATCACATATCGATTTTGTAGTTATATTGTACTCCACATTGTAGTAATGAAATCAAAATGTATAAAGTATCATATATTGATAACAATAAACACACTCCCTTTGTCCCAAAAGAGACTTCTCTTTCCTTTTTTTAAAAACTTTGAGTGATTCACAATCTTTCTCTTTTTTGCCTCACTTTCAACTACATAGATTCACTTTACTTAGACTTTGTGTCAAGTCAAACCAAGAACCTTCTCTGAGAACGGAGGGAGTATAATATGTTGGGACTGCGCATACTTCATCCTAATTGTGTGTTAGTATAGTATTGTAGATTTAGAGTCCCTTCATCCTTATCCATAACACACATTAGCTCGGGCTATGTTCGCACACCCTACCATTTCCACCCCTTCATCACGTCCCTTCGCTTACTTTCAATTCATTGTTTCTGTTGTAATGCCTTGTTTTTGATCCGTTACAAACCCTAAGTTGTACTCTGTTCTTGCCTCTCCATAATAAAATTGCTCACCCTCTTCCCGTGGACGTAGCCAATACAATATTGGTGAACCACGTAAATCTGTTGTCGTGTTTTTCATGTTCATATTGTTATTCTTGAAATCCGTATAACAGTTTCTAAGTTTTTAAGTCACATGTTTACTTCTTTGAAATAAATATATGCTCTTCTCTCATCGACGTTGCCAGGGACTTTCCCACCACTTTTAACATGTCATTTTGTAAGGAATGTTGTCACGGCACTATCCTTGACAAAAAAATGTTGACTTTTAGTTAACAGAATTCTGGGACAAGACTTGAGAATGGCTATCACGACATAATCTATAACAAAGGCACATTTTTTAAAATTGTTGTATAATTAGTATATAGTGAAATTTGCACTGAATAAGACTAAAATATAAGTCATTTTCCAACGTAAGACTTGAACTTTTTTTAGTAATGACAGATTTGCTGACAAAATCATTAGGAAAACAATACATTACAAAAGGAAAAGAAGAAGAGTTTTAGGAGTATAAAGTAAAGAAGCAAAAATAATTAAATCTTTGGTTAAAATAGAGTACATAGTCAGATACCAAGTGCAACGTACAAGGAGGTTGCAACACCGTTGTGCCAGATAGGAAATTAAGCATATATGCCATATATAATATAGCCAAGACTTCCGAAAGGGTAATAAAGGCAAACAAGCTAATAAGAATCATTCAAACAAATGCCTTGAACTATAACTTTGGCTTTGACAGGGTGGGTGGGAGAAAGCTAATAAGATAGATTCCAATATTTGTGGAAGACATTGAACGGCCAACTCATACATAAATCTCCCACACAAAAGTTCACAACTATCATTAAGTTGGGACCACATGTATCCATGTCTAATCCCGCATTAGTTTGATATTATCTGCTCTGGACAAAAAATTCTTATAGGTACTAACGAGTTGGGTTAAACCCATTTATTACTCCATTTGTCCTTTAACTTCTTTTTCACTTTTCTTTTTGGGCCTTCCTAAAATTTCTTTCCTTTTTCATATTTTGATAAAAAACTTTTAATGAATCTGCCATTATACCTCTACTTTTTATCTACATTATTCACTTTATCTCATCACCAATTCAACCAAAAGCTCAAGCTTGTGATTGTGGCCCATGAATAGTTTTTATATACTCTAACACAACATATGAAAAGTCTTTACATTTTTCGACTTTTCGTGATCACTATGCCAAGTCAAAGCAAAAAAGAAATTTTTGGACGGAGGGAGTATGATTCATGTCCTCATATTGCTCCGGTGTGGGATTGTTTTGTCACCCAACAACTATATATAGCTAGGTTCAATAATGCTCTTCAATTACAATTTGCAAGCAGTAATTAAGGAGATCCTCTCTAGCAAGTCATCATCATTCAATACAATATGGCTGCATCATCAACACAAAGTGATGAGAAGCAGCAGCAGGAGCTACAAGCCAATGGTGATATCCAAATCCACCAAAGTGTTCCAATAACAGCCCAAACAAAGACCAACAAAACTCATCATCACCAGTCCTGCAAAGAGAGGATGAAAGGGATGATGATGCCAAACAAGATGATGATGAAGCTCCACCATGCAGGGCAACAGCAGCAGCAACCAGCTGCATTGGAAGCAACTCATCGTGCGCCAGACAATACAACAAAGAAGAAGAAGAAAGGAACGCATTGCATGCCCAAGATCCGCGATCACTTGAAGAACTTCAAAGCTAAAAATAGTAAGACCAAAGAAAAGACCAACGGGAGCAGCAGCAGCAGCAGCAGCGATGATGAGAACGATCATGGAAAGGCCGGTTCAAGAAAGGCCAAGGTATGTTGTTTGATATATATTTCTTAACATTAATCTAAACATTTGTTTACATATATAAATGAACAAGTCTCACAGTGTGTAGTTAATTTGTCATCATTTTGGTTGTATCTTAATAATGATTCTTGACTCTCAACACAACAATTTATGTTTTGGCTTTCTTGATGCAGAACTAAGAATTCCTCTATGTGGGGTAATATATACTTGTTAGAGTGAAGTTAAGAACGAAACAAGTTCAATAAGCTACGTAACTATACAATGGGATTTGATGGATGGTGAAGAAACAGAACGTATCTGTTCCCCTGGCCTACAAATTGTTTACATTTTGTGTAATTGAAAGAAACAGAAGTGTGTTGTTATTTTTTCAAAAAAAAAAAAAAAGTGTGTTGTTATTTTATGAATAATAATTTGTGCCAACATATATGGTATAATTTCAAAATATTAATACCTTCGTCCGTCCCTGAGTATTTTTTCAATTTTGACTTTTTTCGATTAACCGTTTTCAACCTTTGACCTATAACTAAATAAAATAAATATTGTATATTAATTAAATAAAATTATGTTTTAAAAATGTTTGATATAATGAATATAATAAAACTAGTTTTATATCAATATCTAATATCATTGTTATTTAATTTGAGGTCAATGTTTACCAATTTTGACCGAAAAAAGTCAAAAGTGGACAAAATACTCAAGAACAAAGGGAGTAATTTATTATAAAAAAACTAAAATATACTTTCCAAATCCCGTAAAATTTTTCAAGAGTTTCATCTTATTTGTCCCATAAAATATTTCAATTTGGTCTAAATGGACACAATTGCCTTTAGTCTAGTCTCCTTAAATCTAACTAAACCTACCTCAACTACGTACCTTCTGCGCCCTATCTATTTTTGACATTTCCCAAACCCTTCTCGTTTCAATTGTAGTCGTTTCACCTTTGTCAAACTTTAACAATTTCTAATCCAAAAAGTGCAAACAGGGCATATTTTACTGAAGGGATGAATCAGATCATATGGTTGAAATGAAGGTAAAAAATGGATTCCTAAAACATTGTTGGAAACCTAAATTTTTGGCTACCTCTTTAAATGTGATTGGCCAAAAGGTATGCCGCACCTCTTCCTCTCGAACTCGGCTTGATGATTGGACGCCCACGTGGATGCTGCTACTTGTTCCGCCGCCAGCTACGTACCACTCGTGTTGACCTCCAGTTTGCTATATACTCCCTCCGTCCCAAAAAGATTTACACGTTTCAAAAAAATTGCGTCCCATAATCACTTACTCATTTCTATTAAAAAACTACTTTTACCCCTTACTTTTTCAAACCCTACCTATCACATCATACCTTTTTCCTAATAATCTACACATCACATCCTACTTTTACCCATCACATCAAGAGTATTTTTGGAAAGTCAACAAAAATTTATCTATACTTTAATTTCAACTTTAGTCAAAATGAGTAACACTTTATGGGACAGAGGGAGTATGAATTATGTCTGTCACCCAATGGATAGCCCTACACAGAATGGTTTTCAGGCCTTGAAGTGTATTATGCATTTTGTTAAAGGTACCATGCATTGACAGAGGACTTGTATTCCAGTCCAGTTATCTTGTCCTTTGCGGCTTCTAAGGTTATGTGGCTAACCTATGTTCTTACACGTCTGTGTAATACCGGTCTCACCACTACAACTTTTTTGTAACAAGCATTCTGCTCTTTGTTTCGCGACTAATCTGGTGTTTCACAAGCCTAGCGTACGTATGAAGCATGTGGGCACTGATTGTTATTTTGTTCGAGAATAGGTTATTGCTAGTTCCATGAGTGTATCTCATCAGGGCTTCTCTGGAAATCAACTCGTTAATTTGCTGATAAAGTGTTGCATTCACTGCGCTTATAGGCTCTTGTTTCCAAGCTTCCACACTTGACAAGAAGTTCAACTTAAGGGAGGATATAGACAATAATAATACTCCGCATTTAATACTTCATCCATCCTTGAAAGAGTTTCCTTTATTGACTTTTTGGGAAATTAAGAGAGAGATATTTTTGTGTTGACTTTCTAAAAATATACTTGATGTGATGAGTGAAAGTAAGATGCGATGGATAAATTATTAGTAAAAAGGCATGATGTGATAGGTAGGAAATGAAAAAAAGGGTAAAAGTGGTTTTTAATAGATAAGGGAATATCTTTTGGGGACAACAAAAAAATGAAAGGGAAAGATCTTTTATTACTCTCTTCGTTCTCAAAAACGCTTCCTCTTTCATTTTTCTCACTTCTAACAAAACACTTCAACTTTCTTTTAAAAAACCACTTTTACCTTTTCATACCCTACCTATCATTTCATATTTTTTTCTCTAATAATCTATGCATCACATCTTACTTTTACCCATCACATCAAGGGCAAAATTGGAAGTCAACTATAATTTAACACTTCTTTATTTTTACACTTGGTCAAACTATGAACCCTTTTTGAGAACGGATCGAGTATTTTACTACTCCTTTCGTCCTAAAATTAATTTCTCCTTTGACTTTCCACGGTTTCTAGTACAATACTTTGACCATTAATATCTCTATTTTTATATAAATATATATTATAAATTAAAATAAAATATTTTAAGATGAATTTACCTAAATAGCACTAAAACAGAATAATGACTTTCCCTAAATAGCACTACATGTGTTTTTTTTCAATGTAGCACTTTTAGTCATTATCCATTAGTCATTATTCAAGTAAATTTTCGCCATTACTGGTCATTATAGACATTATTAAGTGCTATTTAAAGAATAAAACAATTTAAGTGCTATTTAAGGAATAAAACAATTTAAGTGTTATTTAGAGAAATGACTTAAGTTTTAGTGCTATTTAGTGCAAATATTTCATATTTTAAAATTATGTCTCAAAGTAAATCTATTGATATTAAATTTATATAAAAATTCAATATATCCTTTCCTTAATATGTTGTCAAAGTTTAAAAAATTTGACCACGAAATTCAAACGGGGAAGTTAATTTTAAGACGGAGGGGTACTATATATATATTGTCTGTGTACTCCCTATTCCCTAATATATAACATATACGGAGTATTAATGATTAAAATAATGTATCCAGAATCATAAAATTATCACCGTTGCAATTACAATATAATCGAGCCAAAAAACAAGTGTACTTCACTATAGCTATAATGACAAATAATTAAACCCTTTCCCTTCATCTCTAATTTATGTCTTGTTTAGCTTTATCGGAGAAGAGCTAAAGAGGGAGATGTCACAAAAAGAGAGCGGGTGACACTAATCCAAAAGGTATTATATATATGGCTGTGGTAAATTTAATTATTTAATATCACACTATAAAATAATGGATGGTAAACCGCATTGCCTGTTTCACGTACACATGCATGCATGCATATATGCTTAGGTATTCTAAATTGTACTATATTCATACACACACAAATTCTTCAAGATCAGAAATTAATTTTTTTAAATTAATTATTACCCCATATTTCACCCAAATAAACGGAAACAAATTGATTGCAAAATGACCAAAGTCGTTGCGGTCGTGGTGGTCGTAATCTTCTCCGCCCTCTCGCCGTCGCTTGCTCGAATTCAAATTAGTAAGCCAAAGTATGAGGCTGTCATTCGCCAACTTTCCGGCGCTATGCCGGAATACGATGACGTCAAGGACACTCTTCGCCTCCCAAGCGAAGCCTCAAATGAGGAGGAAACGTTTGAGTTCGATGGCCTGGTGGAACAGCCCGATAGAACAGACCAACCTGTTGAAAATCGGGCTGTGCACCGGCCTCGACCCAACAATGAGTTGGGAAAGAAGCCCAATGACCAAAATATAGACTTTGATGGTGAAAAAGCCCACCCCAAGTCAAATGATGACAATGAGGTCATCAAAGCCCGACTCGCTGATCTCAAGCGGAACTCTTTGTTCCGGTTGAGATCAGGGGTTCCCTACCGCCTATGCCGCCACAACCATCTCCACCACATCGAGGAAACCATTCCCGACGGGCCACAACTAGAATTCCTCTTTGGAGACGATGCCACGACGCTCTCGTTGCCCGCAGAAAATGCCGGTTTCGAGGATCGGGTTGTGTTCCATGATGATAGCGTTAGCCATGGCCGATCAAAGCAGTTTCCGTTCCAATACGACCTACACGATGCTAACAACAAGAACGAGGCTCCAAACCGGTTGTCCGAAAACAGCCAAAATAGCTTTCGTGAAGTCGAGCCGAGGTGGGAAAAGTTCCTTCACCGCTACTACCACGACCAGCACCGCGGTCCCCGGCATCTCCGCCACCACAAAGGGATGGTGTGGACCCACTTGGCCGGAAAGGAACAAGTGAATTCCGGTAGAGAGGTGGCGTTTCACAACAATGAAGGGAATGAAGGTGGCAGCCTGAGGAAGCGCATTCGCAAATTCTTGGGTCAGTATTTTGGTTGAAGAAGATATATGATATAGGTGATCAATTGATCCTCTCGCGTATTAGTTTTGGATTTCAATTATATTATATCTAATGTGTAGTTCATTGGATCTTCATTTTTTTGGAGTTCTTTTTGTACATAGAATGAATGTAAATGAGAATAGCAGCCCGCACCCTTGCATGAGTGATGTTGATGGTAGAAGCACGTTCACAATTAGGTATATGGGGAATTTAGCAAAAACATAATCACTTTCTCAATATAAGATCATATGTTTTTATTTTTTAATGTAAGATCATTGGTCATTATCCATTAATCATTATTCAAGTAAATGTCTACCATCACTGGACTTTATTCCTATGAGGGTACCCCCTCTTATTTTTTCCAACTCCTATTTTTTCCAGCTATTTTTAGTTATTTACAATTTGTTCTAGTTTTTTTCAATTGTTTTCATATTTTCCAGTATTCTTTTAGTTTCTTCCAATAGCTTTAGTTTTTTTTAACTTTTTTAACTTCTTTCAATTCTTTAAAGTTTCTATCATTTTTTAACTCTTATTTTCAAACGAAAACAAACACAGTCGAATTATAAAACTCTTATTGTAAAAAAAATGAATTTTTGACGTTATTAACTCCTAAACTCTTCATAAAGTGCATCCCCCCTCCCCTCCCCCGAACTTTAAAAAAAGCACAATTAGGGGCTGTTTGGCAACTTCTGAATGGGTAAGTGCTGAACCAGTAAGAGGTCTGAACCATTAAGTGATGAACCAGTAAGAGGTCTGAACCATTAAGAGCTAGTATATTGCTTAACTATTCAGAGGCAAATGTCTGATCAATTCAGATAAGAGGTCTTAACCATTCAGACTCTGTATAATACTTAACCATTCAGAGGCAAATCTCTTAACCATTCAGACATCTGAACCATTAAGAGGCTGAAACAAACAGTCTGAACCATTAAGTGCTGAACCATTCAGACATCTGAACCATTAAGAGGCTGAAACAAACAGCCCCTTAGTCCCTATATTTTTAGCAAAAGTGTGATTTATCCTAGAATTATTTAAAAAATGTAGTACTTTCCTCATGAATTTTCAAAAGTGCATGAATAGTCTTTATACATTATATAAAGTGCGTGCTTTTCTTTAATATACCATTAAAAATGGTGCATGGCTAAAATTTCTCTTGGTTTAACAACGTGTTTAACCAAACATGAAGAAAAAGATAAAAATAATAAGACTAATGACGTACTTTTGAAAGAAAGTTCAGGAAGAAAATCACCCACTTTTTAAAAAAATTCAAGAAAAGAGTACGCACTATATAAAAAATATAGAGATCATTGTTGCATTTTTGTAAGTTGGGGGTGGGGTGGGGGACAAACACTCTATAAACTATAAACTACTGTATAATTTTAAACTATAATTCACTGATCAAATATATTTTAATCATTTATTTGATAAAATAAAATAACTTGATCACCACTTATGTAATTTTTCTTAAAAACGTTTTTATGTAAATTTTCTTAAAAAATATTTTTATTTTGAACTTTATGTCAATTTTTAATTATATTAATTTGAAAATAACTTCTATTAAATTTCATGAATTGAATATCAGTCTTATTGTTGAAACAATAGACTTGGGCCCAATTCAACCCCAAAAGTTAACTCAATAGGTTGAGGTACCCAAGCTATTAAATAACAGCACAATATAAGGCTGCATTGCCGATGTGGGATGAACAAGTCAACACTAAAATTATTTTTATAATCTTTTTTTTTAATTGTTGTTTAATTTGTGTGGAACCCATGGTTATCCTTTAGGTCAAAGTCGGCGCCATCCTATGAGCAGTTGCCACTTGCCAGTTGACAACAACACACAAATGTCCTTTCATTAATTTAGACGCATCCTTATTATTCTCCATGCATATATGCTTATTTTAAATAAAACGAGTAATATTATTGGATGCAGGAAAATATGAGCCATTTCCCAAATACGTGGATGTTTTCATTAATGGAGGATGGAAGCAAGTTCATAACTATGAGCAGGCAGGCGACCAACCTTTTAATATGTCTCAACCAATGATTGGAGTGAGAAGAGCACATTAGCAATTTCCCTCTCCCTCCTCCAATTAGTATCAAAGAGAGAAATTTTAGAATAACGAACAAAAAAACCGTAAAACTCTGAAAATAATTACTCCGTATCATTTATAAATTTGAATTTTGAAATTTTAAATTATGACTAATAGATTACATTGGGATACAAAAAAATATGGTCCTATATCCGGACCCAACCCCTCACTACCCACGGCCCAGCCCCATATCCCGGCCCAGCCCACGGACTTGCCCCATATCCCGACCCAACCCCTCACTACCCAGTCTGATGCTCTTCAAGACACTTATCCCATGACAACCCATGCCAAATCCAGAATAACACGTCCCAAACAAATCCTCAACCTCAATACCACCGGTCATATCTCCCCTCCTCCCTTCTACATATCATAGTGCACTAAAATATCCAAACTGGTATGAGCCATGTGTGATAAATTTAATGCTTTGATTCGCAATAGTACATGGGAACTAGTTCCCCCCTCCCCCACCCAAAATGTTATATCAGGGAAGTGGCTTTTCCGACATTAAACCAGCCACCATTCACATTCTTCTCAGTCTAGCCCTGTCTCGAGGTTGACCCGTTCATCAGCTGGACGTCAAGAATGCTTTTATTCATGGACATCTACAGGAGACTGTTTATGCCAGCCAGCCATCAGGCTTTGAGGACCCATCCCGGTCCCACTATGTCTGCAAACTCAAGAAAGCACTATATGGCTTAAAGCAAGCCCCTCGCTTTTGGTACCAGCGGTTTGTAGGATTTCTTCAGCATATTGGGTTTCAGGGGTGCCAGACGGATACCTCTCTGTTTGTTTATTCTCACGGGATACACATGGCCTATCTACTTCTATATGTAGATGACATTGTTCTCACAGCCTCATCCTCCACACTCCTCTCTAGGTTCACGCACCGTCTGAAGACTGCGTTTGCTATGATTGATATGGGGGAACTTAATTTCTTTCTCGGGATCAATGTTCAGCGCACCAAGGAAGGCCTATTCTTACACCAGACTCAATTCGCTCATGACATTCTGGACAAAGCAGGCATGTTTCACTGTAAGCCCATCTCCACAGCTGTTGACTCGAAAGGGAAAATGTCTGCCACCTCAGGCGAACCTGTTGCGGACCCCTCTCTCTATCTCTCTCATAGGAGCCATCCAGTATCTCACATTCACCAGGCCAGATCTTACCTATGCGGTTCAGCAACTTTGTCTCTATCTCCACTCGCCAAGGACCACCCACCTTACGGATTTAAAACAAGTCCTGCGCTATCTTCACGGTACCACCACTTATGGCATCACTCTCACTCATTCCTCTACAGACTTTCTTTGGGCCTACTCTGATGCAGACTTGGCCGAGAGTCCAGACACACAACGCTCCACCTCTAGCTAATGTGTCTTCCTAGGGGATAACTTGGTCTCATGGTCCTCCAAACAGCAACAAACCACCTCTAGATCAAGTGTTGAGGCTGAATACAGATCGGTTGCAAATGTCGTGGCAGAAGCCAGTTGGATTCGCAATCTTCTTCTTGAGCTTCATCAACCATTGCACCGAACCACCATCATCTTCTGTGATAACGTCACTGCCGTCTACCTATCCTCGACCAACCCTGTCCAGCACCAACGCACCAAGCATGTACGTAGAAGTTGATATTCACTTCGTAGGAGACAAGGTGGCTCTAGGACATGTTCGTGTTCTCCATGTACCATCCTCCTCTCAGTTTGCCGATATCTGTACGAAAGGATTACCATCACTTTTGTTCACCGATTTCCGGCAAAATCTTGGAGTACGCAGGTCAGCGATGGAGTTGGTAGCTTGTTAAATATGTTAAGTATATTTTACATATTTAATATGTATTGTTATATTTGGTAGATTCCTTGATTGTATAGGATTTGCTTTTAATATTGTTTCCTTACTCATGTACCTCCTACATGTATATTAGGGGAGGTGATTCATTTGTAATTATCATCGAAGAATACAATTACTCAAGTCCTGTTTTTAAATAAAAACATATCATTTCTATTTTAAAATAAAATAAAGACTATTTTATATTTGGGATTTTCTCCCATGCCTTGTTATTTCAAAGGGCATGGATGCCCTTCCATTTAAATAGTGACATGTGGATAAATAATAATGAGAGTTAAATGTGTTCCACAAAGTTTAAATGACACGCAGCACTCTTTTCAATTATTTAATGAGTAATTTACCTAAATAAGACTAAAACATAATGACTTTTCCAATATAGGACCATATGTTTTTATTTCCCAATGTAGGACCTTTGGTCATTATTAACTAGTCATTATTCAAGTAAATGTCCATCATTACTGGGCATTATTTCTTCCACTAAGACATTATTAAGTCCTATTTAGGGAATAAAAAAGTTTAAGTCCTAGATTAGGAAAGTCATTATGTTTTACTCCTATTTAGTGCAAATTTCACTTATTTAATCCACCATATATTCTTTTTCCCTTCTTTAACAAATCACTCAAAATAGAAAAAAAATACTTATCTCCAAAATACTACCTTTATCCCAAAATATTTTTCTATTTTTGTACTATAACAATCTACCACTGTATATCGGCATTCTACAAGTATTTTTTAATATTATATATTGACATCATTGTCAAAACTTCAATTTCAGAAATAAAATATGGATATCCAATTTTGATATTTTTTCTATGTTTTACTCATAATGTAGTTTCTATTAATACTTCAAAAATATAATCTGGCCATCTCAATCAAGATTTAATTATATTTAATTACTACCTTCATCTATAAGTATTTTCATAATTTTAACTTTTTACAATGAAAATAGATAAACTTTAAACATTAATTAAATAAAATTTATATCACATATTTATTTAAGAATAATTTTATTAGATATATTTATCTTGTAAAATATTTTTTATATATTATTTTATCTAATTAATATAACAAATAAATTTTTATTAACGATTCTGGTTGACTAGAAAAAATCAAAGTTGAACAAATACTCAAGGACGAAGGTAGTGATTATGAGTAGATAGAAAAAATTTTGGAGCTTTACAAAATTCAAAGGATTTCTGACGAAATTGATTATAATAAAAATTTTTAAATTAATTATTTTTAATTTAAAATTTTTAGTTGCATTAACTGTCGAAATTAAAATAGTAACGAAATATTCTTCGTTGGAATTTTTGTCAAAACTCTATAAAATTTACTATCTTACGTTGAAACTATGGCTAAACGTTTCAGACAAAATTCAAATTTCCTAATGTTCAGAATGTATTTCAACCACCCCAATATTTTGTATGTGTGTCATCTACTTACTTTGTAGAATTTTTTATGTAGTTTTTTCCATGATAAAGCATATAAAGCATGACATTGTTTTTTTAAATAAATACATAAGGGATAATACTAAAATAAGTATGTACAAAACAGTTTTTTATTTTAATTTTCAATAGAAGCACGTAAACACAATTATTCTTATTATTATTTTTATTACTATTATGATAAATATTTTTAAAAAATTAAAAAGTCAGTTTAAATTTCAATTTAAATTTTAAAACATATTAATAAAAATTTGAGGGTTAAATACGTTTTTAGTCTCTGTAAAAAAGAAGACTTTTGTTTTTGGTCTCTGTAAAAACAATTGTTAAGTCATCCTTATAATTTTTTTTATCTTGAAAATGGTTCTTAAATATAATTTACATTTCTTATTTGTCTAAATATACATTTATTTCATACTCAACATCTTCATTTTATATTTCTAATTACCTCATACACAATTTTTCATGGCATAGGTCATCTTTTGTATCAAATTACCTCCTCAATTTCTAAATGTTACTTTACTATATTTCTAAAAGAAATGGAAATTGGAGATGTAATAGAAATAAGGATAGAACTTAGAGCATGCAAATTGTATTGGGATAGTAGAAATGCAAGACTATGATATATTTAGTACGAAATAGATGTTAAAAATTATTTTTAAGGATCATTTTAAAAATAATTTTTTTGTAAGGGTGAATTAACAAAAAATATTTAATAGAACTAGAAACAAAAGTCACTTATTTTCCATGGACCAAAACATATTTAATAAAAAATTTAAATTCAAAATTCGTTAAATAAGGTGAAGAAGTGTGAATATGAATTTCAGTAAAAACTATGGTAAAATTAGCCTCTAATAAAAAAAGTAGTTATAATGAACCAAATTTGGGGGATAAATTTGAAAATGCAAGGAAAGAAATTATGTGCTCATATTGAAGAAAAAAAGAAAAACCAATGAACTAAGAGTATTAAAAAGAAAAACTAAATTAATAATAATGGATGGTAGTTTAAGACTTGTACCGATGTACACGGAGTATGATTTAGAGGGTACGGTCATTTTATCATTTATCCACATATAGAACTGGCAAGTCGGTCGGTCAGGTCGGGTTTAGATTCGGTCACTTCAAGTTCGGGTTATTTTGGGTTTGGGTCAATTCGGGTTCGGGTTGAGAACTGTATGTTCATGACCCAGTGTCATTGAGTTCGGGTCGACGCAACGGGTTATGACTTTGGTTTTTAAAATTTTTAAATTCACATTAACACTTACATTTTCTATTAAATAAATTTCAAATATATATAAAAAAGTATTAAATCTATAAAATTATTTTATTTTAAACTCAAAAGTAGTTTTTAGATATATAAATCAATATAAGGAATTTAAAAATGCTTAAGTTTTGGAAAAAAGTAAGATAATTATGCATTATCATTAAAATTTTGTCTGAAAATATAAATTTATACACTAAAAACGAGTAAAAATGTGTATAATTTTGAAAAATTCTTACTTTAGCGGGTCGGTCAGGTCGGGTTCGGTTTCGGTCGGGTTTGACCCATTTTTAGCGGGTCATTTCGGGTTCGGTCAACTTCGGGTTCGGTAATCAAAACCTTTGTTCAAAACCCAGTGTTTTCAGGTCGGGTTTCGGGTCAAAAACAGGTCGGGTCACTTTTTGCCAGGTCTATCCACATAGCAAAGTGTAATTAGATTTATTTAAATATTATTGTCATTTGTCCACATGGCAATTTTTCTAAATGGAAGGGCATCCATACCCCTTGATTTAAGAAGGCATCCAAGAAAAACTCTTTGGATCCGTTTGGTATACGAAATTGATGGAATCGGAATTGAATTCACCAATTTTAATTCACAATTTGTGAAATTTGTACTAAATAGGACTAAAACATAAGTCATTTTCCAATGTAGGACTTAAACTTTTTTATTCACAAAATAGGACTTAATAATGTCTAGTGTGAGGACTAATGTCCAGTAAAGATGGATATTTACTTGAATAATGACTAATTCATAATGATTGAAGGTCCTACATTGGGAAATAAAAACATATGGTTCTATATTGGGAAAGTCATTATGTTTTAATCTTATTTAGGTAAATTTCTCATCATATTTTGTACTATTAATTTCAAATCCACATAATTTTTGTGCTACCAAACACCAAAATTGGAATTAAAGTCTTTAATTTCAATTACATAGTTTGAATTTCATGTATCAAACGGGGCCTTTATATTTTACTCATATTTTGGATAAATATTTTTTTGAATGAGTTTAGACTGGTACGGGGAATACGGCACCATTATTGAGCACAAGAAAGAGAAAATGCATGGGTTTTGGGCAGTAACACAGAAGGGGGGAGGGTATGGGAGCACATAAAGAAAGTAGGTACAAAACGTATAGTTGAGAACTAAAAGTCCAAAGAACTTTCTAGTTTACACACACACACATGTGTGTGCTTCTTTTTCCTCTTCTTTTTATTGAGTGGTTTTTACTTCTTTTTTTAGCATCACCACATCACGTGTTGCATGCCCTCAAAAGTAGCACACACACTCTCTCACCCTTCCTTTCTCCATCTCTTCCTTAACAATGGGAGAAAAAAAAAGGAGAGAAAACCAATGAAATTAGATAATTATTATAGATTATTCATATAAAAAAATTAGTATAGATTACTCATATTAAAAAAAACCTTATGTTATTTTATTTGACTGAATTTATTTTTAAATTATTTTACCCCATCATAATATACTTTACACATGCACAATGGTACAATGGGAGTAATGAAATGGTAGGTAATATAATTTGATTATTTAGTGCAAATATTTCTAGTTTAATCTGTTTGTGTCATTTGGCATGTGTTATGTTTAAGAATAAATGAGAGACTTAACGAGTAATTAATGACAACAAGATGGTGAATTACAAAAACAAATGACCATTTACAAATTATAGCTAAAAACAGAGTAAACAAGACAAACTCTTAATTAAAGTACGAAAAAAAACAAATAATCCGTGTCTTAGTTGGCCAGAACTTCCCATATCAATTCTGGATCGAAGGAAGGCATCCTCGAAAGGGAACAACCTTCTAGCTCAGGGTCACCCGGCGCCGGCAGAAGCTCATCGGAGACGGAGCACGGCGGCGATGCTTCGCTCCTCCAAAACCCATCATCGGAAACACTCGGAGAAATCAAACCGCCGCTCCAACTGCCGTTCCCGCCGGCAAATGACGACGAGGAAGACGAAGGCGACTCCGCCGCCGCCGCCGACGACTCGAGAACGCGGACGACGGAACCGACGGCGGCCTTCGCCGCCGCCGTATTCTTCGTCGTCTTCTTCTTCTTCTCCTTCACCTTCTGGCGAATGGCGCGGATTTTCTCATCCACGGCATTCCGGACGGCGGCGAGCTTAGGGTTGGCGGCGGCGAGGCCGTCGGGGTGGTGGCGGAGGTGGGGGAAGTTCAGGCGAGCATACTCGCCGCGGAGCTTGTACGAGGCGGTGTCGTAGGCGTACGCGGCGGCCTCGGGGCTGTCGTAGGTCCCGAGCCAGACTCTCATCCGGTTCTGGGGGAGGCGGATCTCGGCGACCCACTTCCCCCAGTGCCTCTGTCTCACCCCTCTGTACACCTTTTTCTTCGCCTCCGGCCCCGCTTGAGGGGCCGGAGAGCGGGTGGCTCTGGTTTCTTGGATGAACTTAAGGAGCAAATCTCTTTGCTGGAGGTAAACGGAGGAGCCCAAAGGAGGTGTGGGGTTTGATGACCAAGAATTGGCATATTGAGGATTGGGGTTTCCTTGGATGATGATTTGGCTATCCATTTGATTCTACCAATTTTTTTTTTTTGTTTTTTGTTTTTGGGGGAAAGGAAGAGGAATGGAAAGTGAGGATGGATTGGTTGTGGGGGCATATGGGTACTTAAATGTGGTGTATTTATAGCCGCCTAAAACGGGAAACCCACGCCCCATCCCCCACTAGAGCTTTTCACATTTCTAATTTTTGGATCACTTTTGAGTTTTGACTTTGACAACACCTTTATTTGGACATTTTAATAAGGTCAAAGTGAAAGCAAATTAAAAATAAAAAAATAAAACAAAACAATATACTGCATGCAATATATGCAAATTATTGAGGGATATATAGGGAATGTTCTCTCCTTCTCAAATTAACTTGCCTCACTTTGATTTTACAATGAAATAAAAAAAAAAAAGAGTATTGAATCGTAAAAAAGGAAATTTTGGAACTTATTTAAAAATAAAAAAATTCTACTATATATTATTAAGAGTGAACTTAAAGGAGTAAAAAAATTATTCTGGCGCGATTAAAAAAAAGTGAAAAACTTTTTGAGGGAGATGAGAATGTTGGAAATTTGGGAGGGATAGTAACGCTGCGTAGCATTGTAGCAGTGTTAAAAAAAAACAATATGTGAAAAATGTGAAGATGAACTTGATAGACTTCATGTGTAAAACACTTATGTTTTAAAGTTGTTTAGAGTTATACTCTCTCCGTCAGAAAATGTTCTTCCCGTGTTGACTTGACACGCTTATTAAGGAATAGTAAAAAAATGCACTTACCATAAACTTTTAAATCTCCTTTTATTATTAAAAAAGTATTAAAAAAGTAGATTTGTGATAAAATAGAAGGGTATAATTGATATTTAGCCTTAAAAAGCATACTAAAAAAGGAAATGAGAAGAATATTTCCGGACGGAGGGAGTAACAATATACTTTAATTGAATGAGGCATGAGTAATCTAGAACAAGTATAAAAGTTCTGTGTGTTCAAAACATATGATGATGATGAGGCCATCTATTTATAGGCCAAAACCAGAAGAGACATATTAGTTGATGAAACACCACAACTATTCATAGAATATTCAAATGTATATAGTAGTTAACACACAAATGGTTATTTTTGCAGTTTTGTGCAAATTGTTGCATCCTTTTGCGATACATTCAAATGTTTAATACTCCCTCCATTCTTGAGTATTTGTCTAGTATTCCATTTTGGTTGTCCCTTAATATTTGTCCTTTTTTCCTAATTTGGCAATAATAAATACACAATTTTCCACCTTTACCCTTTCTCACTCCATCCACTTCAATCAATTCCCCACCCACTTCACCCGTTCTATCCACATTGATTCATTTTCATCTTCTCAATCTTTCTCATCCTATCACACTTACTCACTCTGTTTCTCACTCTTCCTCGTCTCCATCGCCAAGTTTTCACTTTCTCACCCTTCCTCCTCTACATCTCCGATCCAATCACCTTCTCACTCGTCCTCGTCTACATCTCCGATCCATCACCTTGTTACTCTTCCTCGCATATCTTCGATCTCTTCACGGAAATCCTAGATTGTTAAATGATGAGTGGACATGACATGGCTTCCGGTCACAAATTTGCATTTTTCAAGAATGGGAAAGTGCTTTTGCTAACCTACAATATGCTTTGCTTCATATATGGTTCCCACGTTGGGGAAAGTCCCTAAGGCGTGGCACAACTCATTGATAAAGGCTTTGCTGCATATCTGGTGCCCACGTTTCTTCGTCTAGGGAAGTACTATGCATGTCTCTACTCTCACTTTTATTGCGTATGAGTATTAATCAAACCTATGATTCTCTTGTTTGTTTTGTCGCTCCTTTCCGTGTTTGTAATTTTAATGTGTGATTATCTTGTTTGTTTTCGTTGTGGTGATGTTGTGCAAGTGTAAGTGTGTGTTTGGGTGTATACGATTATGGTCTATGATGAATCATTCACTTTTGATTTTGGTATATGATGAAGCTGTACATGTAACCCCCCACATTTTCTAGTGTTTGTCGATCCATTTTGTGAATGAATGTTGTGTTAGCTCCCAGTAGTTCACGTTGGTGTACTTTATGTTTGGCATAATTTTTTGACAAAACCTTTTCTGTAGTGTTGTTAGCATGTTTATATTGTGTCTGAGCTGTAGCATCCTGTCAGTCATCCTTGTCAAGGAATTCATGGTTTAAGGTTCTTATACGACAAGGACTCTCATCCATTGGGACTTCTATCACTTGGGTTTTGTGAGGAGTTCAGTATCAAGAGGACTTCTATCAAGAGGCCTTACATTATTTGGGTACTCTCTCACCACGTGATGAATATCGGATAAATCTTACGAAAGAAGTCTAGGCGCAACCAAACTCTCTGGTACTCAAGCTTATCTCAACAGAGTTCCAGTTTACCTCCATTAGGGCTATATGCATGATATATATATAGAGACGCACATGGAAGAAAGGAGGCGGCTTGGCAGATTAACATTCATATATCATACACGAGAGAGATCATGAAAAGCTTTATCTGAATGCACATCTGTGAGTGATTTGCATGAGAAGATTGGCCATGGATCTTCTCTAAGGATTGTTCAGCTGTAGAATTCTGGTTAGCTGAGCAAAGTTCGGAGACACATCATATCCTTTGTGCAGAGCAAGAGGAAGGTGTAATAGGCCTGAAGGGACACAAACCGAGTTTGGTGTCAGATCACGTAAGTATAGACAAGTCAATTCAGTAGAAGGATCTATTGAGATTGATTGTGTAATTCTTATGTTGATCTAGTGGAAAGGCTATTACACGGATGTGGGCCTCGTAGACGTAGGAGAGTTAGCTCCGAAATGCGTAAACAAATCTTTGTGTCTTTATTTGTTTTTTGGTGTGTGTTTGTGATGGTGTTAGAATAGGTGTTGTAGCATTCTGTGGTACATACGAACAGTTGAGCTACAATACAGTTTCCAACATCTTTCTGTTTGTGTTGCGTGTGGTTTCATTTGGTTCAAATACTGCGCTATGCTTGTGGAAATTTCATGTTGGAGTCATTTCACCATCCTATTATCATTAGTTGTGAAGGTATTTTCTCCCAAAGGGTACCACCAATGTTCAAACTCCCTCCACCCCTCAATGTTTGTCCACTTTATTACTGAGTATAAATTAATCTTCTAAATTCAAATCCGAATTTACATTTGATCTTCCAATTTCGAAATAGATTCTACACTTGATCTCTTCTTAATTTCAAAAGTATTTCTACACTTGACCTTCCAATTTCAAAACAACATTAACACTTGATCTTCTTAATTTAAAAAGATTCTACACTTGACCTCGCAAATTTAAAAATAGACTTTACATTAATCTTCCAAATTTAAAACATGTTTTACACTTGACCTTCCAAATCCAAAACAATTTCTACACTTCATCTTTTGAAATCCAAAATAGATTCTACACTTCATCTTTTGAATTTAAAAAGTGTAGCTACACTTGACCTTCTAAATCCAAAACAAATTTTACAATTCATCTTTTAACACACTAGTATCGTACCCGTGCGTTGCACGGCCAAAATCTTTAATTAGAAATTATTATTTTTATAATTTAATTTGAAATTATTTATTTAAGTTCATACTCAAAATGGCTAATTAAATAAGGTATTCAATGTAAGTTATTATTGTTTACATAAGAATACTTTATAGATTCAAAGATATTATATGTTGGATATCATGATTGAACACACAAAATTATTCCATCCGCTCATATATATTTTTTCTCGTATAATTTTCCACAATATTCAAAATAATATTTAGACCATTAATATATATCTATTTGTTTATTATATTCATTACATATCCTTTTTCGGCTTCTTGTTCTTCATCCTCCTTTTCTTCTCCTTTTTATTGTTTTCCTTTTTCTTCTTTATTCTTCTTCTTTGCTTCCATGATAGCTTGTTTAACTTCCCAAGAGTAGTAGATACCTAAACAAACCAAATTATTATAGATGGCGTAACAAAAAAATTATGCAAGAATCAAATTCAAATTTCAGATGTAGAGACAATAAGCTATCATCACAACATCTGTAAAACAAACATGGTAAAAATAACCTATCATCATAACATGCTCAAGTTTAAAGAGTTTAAAGAGACCAATTATTAACATGTTCTACTAACTTGGCATATTCCATACATAAAGCTAGAATCTCCTTGTCTCCCATTAGAACAAAATCACTTATAAAAGTGATTTTTTTGTCAAACAATGGACCAATAAATCATAGCCCTTATATTAAGAAAATCTTAAATAAGCAGAAACTTATTACTAAAAAAGTTTTGGAATGAAAGTCTTACCGTCTTGAGATTTGGGATACTTACTAAAGGTCACACCCAAAAAGAAATTATAAATTTTTGCACTACTTTTAGGTTGAGATGAAACATCTTCTCCCAACAGCTCATGTGATCCCTATAGTGGCTCATTCAAACATTTTCCCTATTAAAAAAAACCTATATATGCTAAAGAGTATCTACTAAGCAATTAAGAAGTTAAATCGAAGTACAACGGACTAATTTAGCAAATCTTGATCTGTTTTAGCCATGAAATACATTAATATATTACTTAGATGAACCTATCAAATTCATCCAAAGTAACTAAGACTGAAAATGTGAGTGGAAAATAAAAAAAATAAGAAATATGTTTCTTCTTAATGATCTCTCTCATACCGATAAACATAAACGGGAACTTTGCCTTGGGGCCTAGGGTTTTTTTATCAGGAAACCCAAAATATAAAAATGCTTAAAATTATATTGTAAAAATGGAGTATAAATAAATTAAAGGAAAAAAAGATGAAAGATAACATTACCTCTCTGGAATACGTCCATGTGCCCCTGTTGTCGTTGGGATTTAACTGTCATCAATACTTAGCCCGGTGGAATATTCTGTCAGTGAAAAACAGGGTTAACATGAAGGCAAGAAGTCAAGAGATGAAGATTATTTCAAGTGTTATAACCAATGAAAATGGTAAAATATATCTTCATTAACTCATTTCTATTCTCAAATAATGCATCTCAGTCTTTTTTCTTTCTTCTTTTAGGATGGATTCTCCCAAATCAGAATCCAACCTCCATTGAATTGCCCAAAAAGACTCTTTATTAAGCATTAAGAAAGTCACTTTCAAAAGTAAAAGGTATCTAAAGAAGCTTAAAGGTAAAGAACATCTGGCCACACTATTTAAGTGTATTATTTACATTCAAAAATCTAGTGGTAAAAGCACAATGCTTTAAAAGCTCATCTGCAATACGATACATTTTTAGTTTTTTATATTAACTAAATAAGCATGTTGTCATGTGAATAGACAAAATAATATGAAGTTTGGATGATGAAATGGTTGTGACTGCGCTTGCAAATTTGCGAGTTAATATCTTCTAATCAAAGTAAAATTAAAGAGAGGTTAAGAAATGGATTACTCCACATTATGTAACATATGAACTTCACTGGAGTAACATATAACATCACATTTTAATGACACAGTAGAAAAGAATTCAAGAAATGCTTACTTTTTTAAGTCGTATAGCATCACATTTTAGTGACACAGTAGAAAAGAAAACAAAAAGAAACACTTACTCTTTTTCACTCGGAGCCATGCTTCGGTTGCTTCTCATCTTTTCAAACTTAATTAGAACCTTGTTAAGAAGGATCTAACAAAAACATAACCCATGTATAGAATTAAATATTAAAAAAATAATTTGATGTAAGAAAGAAAGTAATTCAAAAGGAAGCAAACCTAGCGGAAAAAAATTCTTAAGAGAACACCTGTGGCTCTAATGAAATAGCTAAAAGAGAGACCTACAAATCCTCCTGCTCCACTCCTGCGATAAGATTTTATTTTTTATCATATTAGGCAACATATATTTCTTGTATGTTCCATAAATTATACTTTCCTTTTTTTCATTCTAAAAGTGTAAGCTTTAGAAACAATTGAAACTTTCATTCAGTTCCATTGAACAAAGCTCTGTGTTCATGTGGCTCATCTTATACTCAATACAAAGCTTTCCAATTAAAGCATAATTAAATAGGGTTTCCAAGATTAATTACATGCCTAATTTAATTTGCTCTTTGCTTTAAAATGACAAAAAAATAACAATATAAGTGAAGCTATCTGTATTCATCATAAAAACAACCTCAAACATTTCTCATCAAACGTTGAGAGCCTGTAGCTGCAATTTTTGGCCGAAGCTCCTCCGTTAATGGCCGGAAATTTTAGTAGCGTACTCGAGAAGGCGGAAGTTCGTAAATTTGAGAAGCAGTGCATTAAACTCTCTTTGAAACCGAATGGTTGTCCATCTCCAATTTCTAAAAATTCAATTAATATTTTAAAAAATAAAATAGAAAATGAAAATAGGATGTTACCGAATCGTTGTCCTCTATGCTGCGCTGGTTTCCTCCATCGGTGAGGTTAAGCTCAAGGAAATTGTAGATGCAATTTCCCATAGAAGCAAGATGTTCCAATTGAAGGCCTGCTGTAAACCCTAGATGCTTTGCCGAGAGAAGAGATCCCTAATTTTTTTTTCGGATCTAAAAGATAAGAAGCCGCAGAGCGAAAAAACCAAGAAAAGCAGCGACAACTTGGCTTCTCTAATACGCTGCCTTTTGGGAGCGTACGGCGTAAGCTTTTCCCGGAAGCGTACAACGGAAGAAGAACCGGCGTACAGCGTAAGCTTTAGGCCTCATTTTCCACCTCTCCATCTCACAGGCCCATTTGGTAGTGACCCAGCCCAATATTTTGGGCAGGAACACTGTTCAAAACACCCTCCTACCATTGTATGTATATATATATATATATATATATATATATATATATATATATATATAGATTTTGGGCTTTCTTGTACCCTTTCGTCGCAGGTCAGTGACAGGGAGGAGAGTCTGTTGCAAATAACCAGTGGGCGATAGTGGATTTGAATTGCGACGAAACATAAGTGTCGCAATGTTGTCGCTAATTATGGATCTGCAACGGTTTTCTTACATCTGCGACGGTGACTGGCGGCTGTCGCAGATATAACAAATTCTTGTACTGTCTAGGGTGGGGGTGCAGGGGTTGGGGTGTGGTAGGGGGTTTAGGGAGGAGTTCGGAGGGGTGGAACCGTCAATTTTTCATTTGGAGCACCGGAGGAATACCAAATGAGCGAGTGTCATCCGTTGATACTAGATGCTAGTGTCAACGAACCTTACCATTTATTTTTATAACAAAAACTGAGTAATATACTTTAAAAGTAGGATCTCGAGATGACGAGGTTTGAAATATAAGAAAGCACAACAATTGAAATAGGTAGTTCGTCGTTTGTACGTAGTCCTCACTTCTACTAGAAAGTAGATTGATTGTTTCAAACGTATAATTTATTTTTACAACCTAAACGCATAATAAATTAATCTTCTTGTTTGTAAAGGATGCTCACTGATATTGTTTCTAATAAATGACAAAATTGTTCTCTGTATCATGTTTAACAGCCAGTTAACAGATGAACATATGATTGGATGGTGAACAGAAATAGAAAAAAAACCATATTACCAATCTGGAATAGCCATCCTTTGCCCCTATCACAAAGAACGAATCTTCTTAGAAATTTACTCAGTTTAATTTATTGGATTAACATTTTTTTTATAAAGGCAACCATTTGTATAATACTTCCTCACTTTTCACAAAATATTTTAATTTTTTCATCTATACGTCCCATAAAATATGTCTCTTTAACCCTACTTTAATTTCCTATATCTCATCCACTAAATCTCATCTTACTTTTTCTTTTTTTAATTACTTCTTCTTATTATTCTTAACTATTCATTGATGTGAAAAATCATTTCTAAAAAGAAACTCTAAAAGCATATGTGGAAGGTCAAACACCATAATACATCTCCTTAAAATCACTCAAAAGTCAAAATCGAAAATTTTTTGCAGGACGGAGGAAGTATAAATTAAATGAGATTTATATATCGGATACGTAAAATATTATTGCACAATAAATAATAATAATAATGTTAAATATATATGTCATTAATGGTGTTCTCACGAGGGAGTATTATGTGATTATTTAAATATTAATTCAAGAGTAGGAAGGTGTGGTTGATATGCATTTGACTTGTGAGAACTCTTGCGTTTTGATCATTCATCCTTCTCCTGCATTGGTTGTCTTGTCTTTATATGCCCATAAAATAAAAATGGCGCGCATTTCATATGATACGTGGTTTGATTTATTAAATGCAATTAAGTCAACTCCTTGTTGTACTTTCACATCTGTCTACTATCTCCCAATTTCTTGGCAATAATCAACAAATTACACTGCTGCCATCCCAATCATCAACTAGTGACTCCCTTAATTGTAATTTGAAGTATGTTGCAAAATTAATTGGCTCTTTCTTGTTTTCAACTTGTTGTTCCAAAGTTATGTTTGGGCACTATACCACTTTTGACACTTTGGACAAACATTCACCAATACAAAAGAGTGTCCAATATTTGCATGAAGGATGACACCAAGAGTGGTTTAAAAAAATTGCGTACATTAATCGATCTGTCAAAGTATGTAATTGTCCAATTAAGAAATTATTTCTCCATCATATATTTTATCTTAGTATCATATTCAGTTTTAGCTTACCTTATTTTTTAAGGTGCCCGTCTAGAAGTTCTAGCTCAATTGTATGTATGAAAAATGATTGTAGCACATAAAATTAACACAATTGTTTGTCTGAAAATTCATGTTGAACGATTCATGATTCTTTTGGTGTTGACACTTTTAATCCTTTCATTTTTTGAGGAGGGGAAGTCAATTCAAGATTGTCCAGTTGTCCACTTGAGGAGCAATGTTAAAGTATCTTAAAAAATAATCAGTATATTGAGTTGGACAAAGAAATCAATTGAATTTAATCTTTTAATGTGGTTCAACTCAAGTGTCTTATATATAATCCAATCCAGTATTATTTCCCATCATAAATTCTATGAGGATCTAGTGTCTAATTAATCTTTGAATTCAAGATTCAAGTTGTGTCTGGTGGAGAATTTTTTTTGTTCAGATTCTTCATACTATTATAATTTTTAAATTTTTAGATGAATTGTTTTTTGGCATTATACAAATGTCTTGTTGATGTGGGGTACGAATTCAAATCTAAAACAGTTCTTGTGTTAATTTATGCACAAGGTACGTAACAGGTTATATGTATGATGTCCCTTATTTGTTTGCACTCACGCTTCATTTGATATTCCAAACAATTTTTGTGTGTAATCTTTTGTTTTTTGAACTCCTAAATACTCCATATTAAATTAATAAGTTCTTGATTGAGTTGATTATTTGACCAAAATAGAAAATAATTATATGTTAAGGCCGGAAAATATCTAAGTATTCTTCTTTAGGACTAGAAAAAAAGAGTTGGATGTTGGAAGAAACGGGAAAAAACTGGAAAAAACTGAAAGAAACAAGAGGGAACTGGAAAAGATTAGATGAAACGGGAAAATCTAAAAAACTTCAAGAAATTTATTATAGTGTATTTTTATATTATTCTCATTCTAATTCTTGTTGTTATAAATTATTATTATTATTACTACTACTATTATTATTATTATTACTACTACTACTACACGAAGTACTCCGTATATTTTTTAAGTTTTCTTGTAACAATGGAGAGTGAGATCAACATCGCATTGCTTGTTTATTACTAAAGTATGAGGATGGAGGTGGTTTTAGTAGATTGGAGGTTCTCATTTCATTTTTGATTTCAGCTAAATTTTGAAAGCACTCATAAAAGAATGAGGCTAAACAAATTTAAATAGCACATGCATTTAGATAGCTTGATTTTCAAATTGGCAAAACTTTAATAATTATTTAATACCCCGAGTATTCATTTAAGTTAAAATTCTAATGTAGCAATAGATATTAATACAAAAAAATACTGCCTAAAGAAATATAATAAAATATATGACAATAAAATGTTTTTGTAAAGTACTTGAAGAAAAAAATTGAGCTTAATAAAAAGAATAAATTTAAAGAGGAGAGGAGAATCAAACTTTGGATCACACATCTCAAAATTCAGCTACGCCTCCACTACACTGCTTCAATATTGATTATCATATCGGTTTTGTAAATTTATATACTAATAATACTCCCTCCGTCCTAAATTGACCTTCCCACATTGACTAAAATCCATTTTAAGGGATTGATTATTGTTGCTTTGACTTCCAATTTTACCCCTTCTTACACATCCAAGTATCCAACAGGCCGTCTCCGAGATGCCGCCAAGCGTTGCCAGCTCCCAAAATTCAGCATCCTTGACCTTGTCAAGAACCAAATCACCGATCCTATCCAACATCTGCAGGGAACCTCCGTCCTCCAAATGCTAAGCCGCCTTCTTCGCACCAAAAACCAACTCACCGGTCTCATCTCAGTCGATTGAATTGCCAATATGTGCCGCCTCGCAGATCTAAATCTATCAATGAACCAGATCTCTGGTTCAATCTCGGCGCATCGGCGGTTATCTCAACTTCAAACCGCAAATCTCTAGATACTCGCCGATTTACTCCGCAACTTGAGATTAAGGGTGAGAGAGATAATGTTAAGAGAAAAAGTGAGAGTGGAGAAGAAGAGATAAGGTGAAGGAGAGGAGGCCAAAAGATAAAAGTGAGAGACGGGAGGCGTAAAAGTGAGGCTAGAAGGTTGGTTGGATGCGAGGGGTATTGTGGTCATTTGACACCCTTTTTTGATGTGTGGGAAGGTAGTTTTAGGACGGAGAAAAAAGGGAAGTGGGAAGATGGTTTTAGTACGAAGGGAGTATCAGAATACCTAACATATATGGAAATCCGTGGGGTCCCGTTGTGGACTAAGTGTGGGTCTGCCTAATATGGTCTTTTTAAAATGTGAAATTTGCACCGAATAAGACTAAAACATAAGTCATTCCCCAATGTAGGATTTAAACTTTTTTATTCCCTAAATAGGACTTAATAATGACCAGTGAGAAGAATAATGTCCAAGTGATGCTGGACATTTAGTTGAATAATGACTAATAGATAATTACCAATGGTCCTACATTGGGGAAATAAAAACATATGGTTTTATATTGAGAAAGTCATTATATTTTAGTTCTATTTATGTAAATTAACCTTTTTGAGTTCTCTTAAGTCTCGTTTGGTACATGGAATTCAAACTATGGAATTGAAATTGTGGACTTCAATTCCAATTTTGGTGTTTGGTAGCACAAAAATTATGTGGATTTGGAATTAATAGTGCAAAAAATGAATTGTAATTGGCAGAATTCAATTCTATGGAATTGGATCCCATAAAATTTCAATTTCAATTCAATTCAATTCCAATTCCACATATACCAAACGGACCCTTAGGTGATAGTCCGTGACAACAAAATTTTTTTCCCAAATTCAAAACAAAAACTCTCACCAAGTCACGAGTTGGGTAGCGAAGTAAAAAAGCAGATGAATGACTGCTCCGTATTGTTTTCTGGAGTCTGCGCTCCGCCGTCTATCTGCTTCTCGTCACTGTTCATCTCGGCCATCTCCCACAAACACTAGAGGTTCGCCGCAGCATTTCACTCTCATTTCCACCCGATCACTTAACCTCATGCGGGTTATCAAATTCTCATATCCTGTATGAACTATTGAAA